TGTTGTGGAAGCAAAAATATAATGATCCAGCTGGGAATTGAACCCAGATCACCCACCCTCTGCGTAGAACCAGCAGGACATTACATAGCAGGAGTCATACCATTAGACCACCGGACCTTTTTCTGTGTAGGCATTGGCAAGAGAACCTTACATAAGTTGAAATTCAGTAACCAGGCTACCACCGAGATCAAACTAACTAGTCTGGCGGGCACAAACTGACCCCAGCGCAAATAAGCCCCTCAGTCCACAACATTCTCAAGCTATTTTACTGATCAATATTCACATAGCACCCTCATATCTCCTCGATGTCCTACGATCTACCCAGAATTTACTCAGCATCTTCCAAATCTACACAGTATTCTCAGTCCTCTTCATATATTCAGTGCCCCCCGGTCTATATTCCTGTAACTATATGCTATTCTATAGGATCAATGGAGTGTCTACGAGAATCAATCCAAATAAGGTGATAAATCCCGGCTTCAGCCTTGATCCCACTCTATCTCCATAACTATTGGCTAATAATATAAACTCACAGAAACCCAATGTGGTAGGATACTGGGAACACCCCAATTACAGCCTCCATGGAATGTCACTTATGTACATGTGTAGCTCCATGACACAGTTATCGTGGTGTGATGAATCACATGTCGCAAACCCTCTCCTACAGCTACAGCTATAGGACTACGTATCGCCAGTCCCCTAAAGTCAGCATGAACTACTATAAGCTCAAGGGCCTGTATAGTCCCTGTCTGAGTGGCAACCACTCGACTGCGTGGACTTACCTCAGCCATCCCCTAGGTATCTCGGTGGTATTAATGCATACAAGGTTGGAGTGAGGTAATAACATCACGAATCAGAGGTAAAGCTCCACCCGCCAGAGGACTAGGTCCAATGAAAGCAATTGTGTAGACATGAAGACGTGGTCGCTTCTAGAATTTAGAGACTAGGTTGACGGATATAACTATCGGGCTCTAATCCTCTTCTTAAGGGATTACCTTTAATCTAGTTTATAGCGGTGCTACGGTGTGAGATCCTTGAATTCCTTCACACACCACCTCTTCAAGACTAAAACTAAAGACAACTTAGCTCAGGGTAACCGAAACTGGCTTGGCATTATATGTACATGTCTGCAACATTGCAACTCTACAGCAAAGGGAAAAATGGTTAAAATTATATATAGTAGGAAGTATTCTAGGAGTCTGGTGGCGTAACTCTCATGAGCATGGATGAAGACACTCACCCAATAACATCCACTGGCAATGGATCTTCACGCTCGCCCTCTGAGGAGCCAAGCTCGACGATTACTTATCTAGGTAAGTACATAGATATTTAGTCTATTCTAGAAAACCCTCAATTTCAGGGTAACGTTTATTTCCGTCTCCATCCAATGGTTGCATTCACTCATGCATTAAATTTCAAGGCTCAGCCCCTTCACGCCCTCTCGCTCCAATCCCTGCTATCTACAGCAGTACTAGGGAGAACAAAACCAAGCATATGTTATAATAACCAAAATATCGACCCGCTCAGGTAGCTATCCATAAGCTATTAGTTTTCCGATTTAAATTCTCTAACTTAGCGAAATGAAAACAAATGAACAGATAGAAGCAATCAAAGCAATCAGAGGCACGGCATCCAAGCGTTCCCTAAATGGGCTACTCTAGGAATCACTGGAGTACCGGTGGTCGTCTCTCAACCCCGACCGACCCCTAGAATGGAAAACAATCGACTAAGGTATCCGCCTCGTATAAATACGCCGGCCGAGTTCCAGAACTCACGACCAATCGGGATGTTCCTAAATAGGGCCCGCCATTATTACCGACTCACAATGTGGTTCTAAGGTAACTAAATATGCTACACACACGTGTCCTCGTCGGATTCGGGGTAGTGTGTTTAAAACCGGCTTTGCCGGAGAGACATACGACTCTAGTCTCGAGACCTACAGATTTAGTTATCTAGCCTGAGTATGAGCTCCCAGAACCCTCCCAGAGGAACAGATACGGATGACTATGGCCAATCCCAGGGAAGCCATAAGAGAGGATACTTCAGCTTGAGAAATGGGGAAAGTATTAGGGAAAGGGGACCGCATATGTATCTAACAATGCGACTGACTGGAAGTGTGCTTCATTCCATAGATGACTGGCACTGGCTTAATCGTGCATGAATAGTCTAAGAGGCAAAGGATGATCCCAGGTGTCATGCTAAGGAGGTAAGTTAATAAATACTTCTACAAACTTATAGTCATTAACTTCATGCATTCCGTCTAGAATAACCAAGACTTTTCCACAACAATTATGCAACCCACCATAGCTAGTACACTGAGAGGCAGTTCTTTGGAATGCTGGGTTTTTTCACTCCGGTGAATGAGTATCCATGTTTCATCTAACCCTGTCGAACAAAGTTGCCGGTCTCTGCAGCCTACTCATGGCCAACGACCCAAATTTTCAATTACCAGTTTACCATCCCCATCAAACTATCGCAGAGGCCTAGGAGGCGTTAGCTGTGGCAACGAGATGATACGTGTTGATCTCCAATAGCTGGGCAATTATCAGCCGATTGGCAAGTTGTTTCAATAACGCGGTGATACCAGCATAGAATTTTCTCTATAACTTTACTAAAGATGTCACATATTGTAGCAAGATACCTCTAACCCAAACACTGTACGAGAACATCTCGATGCGTTTCAGAGACGCCAACAAATTCAGCAAAAAGCTGTCAACGTGCAGACAGCAACAACAATGCTGTATGGACCAACTATCCCATAGAGATGCTGCTCATTCACATACTGAGCTCCGCTTATAAATTATTAAGTATACCTATCTTTGATGGCCGAGGAAAACGGAAATCTATGCTAGGGTAACAGCGAAGTTATCTTTTAGTTGATGGCCCTTCCTGAGGGAGAATGTATTGTTTTCTGTTTGCAAAGCTTCCATTTGCCAAAAGTCCGCTTGACATTGGTACGTCCCTAATACTGGTTTATGATGGCGATCGGAAATGCTGTGTCAAACTAGCTCTTTTGGGAATTGTGAACGCAAAAACAGACAGCCTTTGATCCTAAGATAGGCAGCATGGACTTATAACTTGGCGGCTCGAGTTTAGCAACATTATGTATATCTGTTAGTAATTGCTTATCCTGTCCTTGAAACGGAGAAGAAATTCCATGCTCATCTTAAGGCCTCCCACGTGGTACCATTGCATGAGTCTGCTTCCTATTGCTATACCTTTCTGCTCCTTAGCCTAGAAGAATAAAACACTAACTGGCTACGGCTTTTTGGGAGTAAGTTTCGTGTATGAAAGCTGGAGTTCAGGGTAATCCTTTGTATAGAAGTTACTCCCTTTAGCTTCCCCCCGACTTGTTAAGAAATTAGAGACTAGAAATTAGAATATAATTCTCTAATATGTATGTAATAAAGCTAAGTATGGAGGTTTCACTTGAATATAATTACAATATATGCTCAAATACCTATTTAAATGTAGCAATTGCAGATAGTTGAGTTTCCCAAACGCGGGGCAGGGATGGATTGGGGGAGGTTTTGAAGAGTAGGTCTCTTAACTACTTCCTGAATGTGGGCTCAAAATTAAACGAGTGAAAGTTCAGAGTAACATGGTGACAGAGGACTGCCTAGTGGGGTCGATGGTTGAGCTAACCCTCCCAAATGCTTAGGTGGGGTGCGCAAAGCTTGATCGGATACAGATCAGGTTAGGGTTTATTATCACCCTTAGTCCTCCAAAGACCAACGTAAATTGAGTAAATGAAAGTCTCATTTTTTTTTTTTGGTGGCTGAATGGGAGAAATGCTAGTTACCCTGAACTGAGGCTCACAAGTTGATGCGACCTGTTTGTTAGAACTCCCATTTCTTTATTCCGGTTCCCTGATAGAACGTATATTCATTCTCCTTCTCATGATGATGGGAGATCCTCTGGATCTCCCGATATTCTATCTATAGTTACATGCTCAGCCCGCTAGTCCCATATTGGGTACTAACACCTCCCCTCGGGCCCAGGATGAAGAAAAACAACAAAAATTATAATACAATTGTATTACAATACCAAATGACTCAAAATGCTTCTCTGGTATCCTTGATAGATAGGGGGTCACGAGCACGATCCATATTCGTTAATGTCGTTACCAGGGAAGCATATTCAGGAAGAAGGTTGGCCAGTATTGCCACTTGATCTTTTGATCGCTCACGTCTTCACCCAGATATTTCAAGTCCGTAGCCGCAGCAACTACCTCATTGATGAAAGTCAAAACGGGTTGATCTTTCGTTTGATGCATGCTGTTGAAAACCGTCGTTAGTTGGAAAATATTCGCAGTAGATGCTGAATGAAACACATCTTCCAACGTCATCCAGGCTTGTCGTGCTGACATATCGTCTGTAAGTGAGGTTTGGGTTTCAGGTTTACACCTGAAGTATATTTCCGAAAAAGCCCATTTGTCGGCCTTTTCCCATCTCATGTCAGCGTCTGGAGGCTTATCACGGTCGATGAGGTCAAGAAGGGACATCCGCATCAATAGTATTCGCATATTCTTCCTCCATGTGGGATAGTTTCCACTTTCTAGGAGATCGAATATAAGTGATTCTCTATGAAGAGATTTTGGAATATCGGGATCCTCCATGTAGTCAGGAGGGGGGGATAAGGAGGAGTCCGAAATCTTGGAGGTTCTTTAGGAGGGTTGTGTGTTCTAGTAAAGTTGATATATAGTATCAATAAGTGGTTGATACTGAGGGTTCTCATAACCTGATAGAACGTATATTCATTCTCCTTCTCATGATGATGGGAGATCCTCTGGATCTCCCGATATTCTATCTATACTTGTTACATGCTCAGCCCGCTAGTCCCATATTGGGTACTAACATTCCCTTCCTTCTAACTTCGGCTAACACCAGCCTCCAACCGGACTAAGTCAGCATCCAGCGGAAGATTTAGCCCCTGAGACAGAAATGGTTTTTAATCAAAAGAATCTAGATTTTCCCCTACATTCCCTTGACTATATTATACGGCTCAGCTAGGATTTTGAACCCAGACCACCCACACTCTGCCTGGAGCCAGCAGAGCATTATATAGCAGGAGTCATACCATTAGACCACTATGCCTTTTTGTGTTAGTGACAGCACATAGTTTTGTATTGCCTTGTAGCTGGTTTGGAAATCCATGGGAGACACGAGATGTTCTTGTGTGCAGAATTTATTATAGTTTGGTTGCTTCAGTGCTCGCCAGGCTACTTAGATACTTCATTAGTGTCTAGACAGAGGTCAGGATTACATATTTGCCTCATGATGGTCCGATCCAATCGACCCGCGAGAGGCTACTAAACGCAGCCAGACAGGCAGTATCACTGTAGTATGATTCGTAGCGGTGGTGGTCACGAAACAACTATCAAACGAAGGGAGCACAAGAATAGAGCGAAGATCAGAGAGCATATTGGCAAGATAGCAGTGTGAGGGGCTCAAGGCTTGTGCTTCTTGTCTGCTTGTGGTTTCAGAAACTTAAGGCATTGTTGACACATAGCTAAATCACCCACCCTATGCCTGCAACTAGGAGGACAATATATAGCAGGTGTCATACGATTAGACCACTGCGCCTTTTTTCTATTACTGCTCCGCAGCACGTAATTTTGTCTTGCCTTGTAGCTGGTTTGAGAATCCATGGGAGGCACGACATGTTCTTATGCGCAGACCTTATTGTAGTTCGGTTGTCTAAACACCAAACTAGACACAAGCTTGAGGTAACATCCCCAGTTCATGCTGCCTCGACTTCTACTCGATGCAGGATGACAGGGAGTATCACTGTAGACTGGTTATTTGCTGCCATGGCCACGAAGGAACTGTCAACCAAAGGGAGCATAGGAACGAAATGGGTCCAAGCCAGACTAAATATTGGCAAGGTGACTCGGTAGGGATGAGAGTGTGAAGTGATGCCGTTAAGCAGACTACCCGTGAGGGTATTCTGGTTAGTGTGAGGGGTACTTCATTCTATGGCAGGGACCAGGCGATGTTGGTAGCATCGTAGATAAGACAATATGGAGTCTAGGGTATAAGTTGCGGGAGCAAAAATAAATGATCCAGCTGGGAATTGAACCCAGATCACCCACCCTCTACCTCAAACAAGCAGGACATTACATAGCAGGGGTCATACCATTAGACCACTGGACCTTTTTCTATGAAGTACTCGGCAAGAAAGCGAAGTGAAGAACATGACTACAGTCCACGCTCAGCACCTGATGCAACCAGACTAGTTGCAGACTTGAATTCCTATTTGTTAGTAGTCTGGTTGTATGACCCCTTCGTAGGAGGGAGGGATCATGCAACCAGACTAATTTGTTAGCTGGTCCGCTCATTAAAAGATTCTCAACTGCGCGGTGACCAAAGCCTAGTTGCACAATACTGTCACCATGTCCCCAAACTCCCTTACATTCGGCATGCCGGTACCTCGAGTCAAGGTAGCCCTGGTTTCGACATTCCTAGTCTCAATTCCCTCAGCAGAACTATAGTCCTACAAAGTACCTTTAGCCTAGATGCGCCAGGGTTTATATAGTTCAGTATCCCGTAGAGGTGGAGAAGTAATCCACAGGCACTATGCTTAACCTTGATGAACTAAGGAGATGGCCTTTGGAATAAGAAAAGAATAGAGAAAATCCCAGGCTACAAACTTAAAGGTTCTAATAGTACCAAATGAGGTGCTTCTTGTCTAGAAGCTACTTACATACATGTACAGGTAGGTACCTGGTACTCCAATCTCATATGTAGATTCTTAGTATCTTACGAGAGATGCCGGGTCCTCTCGCCTGTTCATTTAGGCACCTATGAGACTACCGGTGGTTCAATCAGGTTATCAAGCATTTCTAGTTCCGCTTCCATTGTGATTTTCAATATATTTTTTGCCTGAACGTCATCTTCCTCAGTACCTCTTCATGTCCTAACGCTCAAGATGCAGCGTTCTATAAGTTACTACCCAGAATTCACTCAATGTCCTCTTATGTACTCAATCTACTTAACATCCTCCAGATCTACATAGTATTTCTTAACACCGAATATATTCACTATTCAACCACAGCATCACAAGGGTCCCCGGATCTATGCTCCTGCAACTCCGTCACTTCACGGAACTAGTCGAACGAGGTTCCACACAAATTAAGGTGGATTACACAAACCAGGGGAGATGCTACTGACTAAGGTGGATTAATCCCCAACGTTAACCCCGGCTTTACATCCATAAGCATAGGCTAGTAATAAGTAGACACACAGAAACCTGATACTGGATAGGAAGCTTGAGACTATTACCCTGAACTCACAAAACAGCTTTTTAAACTAGCTCCCATGACCCCTAGTCGAACTTAGTAGTTCCTTCCCCCGCAGTCACGGTTATAGGCTAATTATAACTAGACTCGCGCGGAACCCAACTTTTGGCATCGCAAATCCCTATAGTGTTACCCTGAAACTCACTTTGTGTACTTGAGACAGGCTTTGCTGACGAAACTTACGGATCCAGTCCTCCAGCCTGAGTACGAGTACATAGAGAGAAGAACACTTGCAGAGGAACAGGTATGGCATACTTTGGTGGAGCGATCTCAAGGCGCCCTGAAGAGAGGATACTACAGCTAGAGAAATGGCAACCGGATTACGAAAAGAGGATTGCAGAGGCTGAGGACAAGAGGCGATTAGATTGGAAGCTGGATATTACTACTATTGGCGTCAGGGGATTGCTGGATTATTCCATTTGCGGAGAGGGGCGTCTGGCAACGCCATTTCTTGGGAGCGCCCCCCATTTTGCAGATGAAAGGCACTGGTAAAATTGTGCATGGACGCTTCAGGAAGCTGAGAAGGAACGCATTCCCGCTTTGACACTAAGGAGGTGAATCTACATGTATAGTTCTAGGACATTAATCTTCGCTCTTTGTCGCTTTTACACCAAAAGTGCTGCTTCTCGGTGGAGTGATAAAAACCAACAACGCTATAAATTCTGCTGACCTGCCCTTGCACTTCTTCAAGGCTGCTCTTATCCTATCCATATAAATTTTATGTCCACCTACTCCCGTTTTCGCTTGGCGATTCGAATTGCTGGCCGTTGGGTCCGTGCTGAGGTTCGATAAATGCCTTAGCTCTTTTCTGCATCACTGGAGGCTACCTCTCTGTTACTATATCTGAACATCTTTTTTATATCCGAAAGGATTCCGAGCCACTCGAACACAATCCCCGACCTCCTTTCCTTCTTCCGCTAGCACTCTGCATTTGCTATCTTGATCTTTCTGTAGTTGCTTCCGTGCTCCCTTATTTTTCCGCGTCTTTCTCCTTAATTTCTTCCATTCCTTCCATCATCTCTTGCTGAATGCCGTAATCCTCCGCTCTCTCTTCCACTGTGTCTTCAAAAGTGAACACATCTTATCGTATGCACCTCCCACGCGCTTACAAAATCAACCATCATCGGATTCTCTTGCTCTTCTACACACTTATACACTGTTACCCAATCTACCACTCTTAGAATAGTCTCTTTTCTCAGCTCTTCCACTCGGTACCCTTTTTGCCAGCTGATAAAATCTACCCATATCGTATTCCCTTTAATGGGTATAGGGATCACCCGCCTTCCGTTCCCCTTTAGATCGGGAAGAACACCCCTTTGGCCGTCCATTGAGTTCTTTATTGAGTGATTGTTCAACACCATGTTCCTCTTGCTCGACACTGAGGTCTCTTGCCTTTTATTGACTGGACTGTTCGGCTGGGCACCTCTTCTTACCAGCCAGGCTATTGGGTGGGAACTGAATTGAGACTTATTCTGGTTTCTCCGGTGGGAGTCGTTGTGCTGAATCTGGCTGGTATCCCTGTTGAGGACCTGGCGAGATATGAGACTCTTCATGTGCTCCATGTGGAGTAGCTGTTCGGTATCTATCTAGCGTTGATGTAAAGTCTTTGAGCTTGCACTCCGACTGGCGTCCTCGGTGCTAGCTGCACCTGCTTCAGGATGGTTTAGTGTCGGTGCTGGAGCCCCTGGCTCCTCTGCTGCCTCCAACTCCTCCGGACCTTACTTTAGAGCCTTTTTCCGCCTATGTATGTCCTACGCTGTGAAGTTGGCAGAGTGCCTGGTCTTAGGCATTCTGTTATCAAGTTCCTCCTAACGAAGCTCGGGTTCCGGAATCGACTGCTGGGAAGCTTCCTGCAAAGGTATTCATAAGTCTCGGCCCTGGCTTTTCTGGGGCTTTTGTGGTCTCTGGTATCCTTAATTCTGCCTTGAGCTGGGCGTTTGACCTCCACTGCTGGAGCGACCATGTTCTCCGGCTTGAGGGCCTTAGATGTCGCACTCTCTGGGGCTGCCGAGGTGATGTGACGGACCTGGCTTATTCTCTCGCACATGATTGCTTACATTCTCCGGTTTGATTCAAGTATTAGGGACCGCCATGGTTGGCGGAGCAAGTGCGGGAGATGGTCCTCTAGGCGTAAGTACTTGCATCGGTATAAACTGCGAATAGTGGCCCCAAGCTGTGTGCTCCGGTCCCTTCAGGACTGCTTTATGCCTCCAACCCGTGTCTTAATAGCTGCCCCGCTGCCTGTATCCATATAGAATTCCCCTCCATTTTCGGGCCGATTAGTAGAGTAAAAGCCCGGGTTAATCCCCGCTTGATGTCGTCCCCCTCTGCATGCACCTGATTGCGTACCTCTGTTAGCACCACGGTCAGTGTAGCCACTCTGTCTTCTAGCTTCTCTATATTCCTTTCTATCTTCTCCATCCTGCCTGTGACTCTTTTGTTCTGGATTTCTGTTTCGACCTCCCACGGAGTAGTGGCACCGAACCCCCCCGAAGACTGTTTGGAAGAACACTGGATCTTGTTTCGCACCGGACACGCACCGGAAAAAAATTCCTGTGTTCCCAAACCGTTTCTTACTTGTGCAAATGCACCGGAATATGTCAGAACCTGAACTGGAATATGCAAAGGATAATTGGAGCCTCGTACTCTAATGGCTGAATCACCGGAATCATTCCTACACGCAAGCGCCGTGGATTAGCTAAATATTGATACTCTGTTTCAAGGAGACACTGGACTACTGGAATTAATCAGGTGCGGTTTAAATAGGGTTACCCTGAACTGACGCAACCATGCTTTGTGTAAGTCTACTCGACCACCGTCTAACAATCAGGCAGGGTTACAGCTTACTGCATACAGCTACCATCTATCCCCAATATCATTGAATTATCTCTATAACTACGTCTATAGCCTAAATGCACTAGAATTCAAATTTTGCATCGGAAATCCTCTCAGAGTTGACCTGAACTCGCTATAAGACTCACAACCTCAGCAGCACCTCACAACCCCTCCCTCTACTCTGAAAGCTCTGACCTTAGCTACCCTTCACTGTACATGTCTGTTTATAGCATAGACAGATGCCCTATTGGTCTTCTCTATAACCCTCAGGCATAGAGTATAGGGCAACTTCATGGATGCCCTACATGCATTGCAAAAGTTCAAAATCAAAATTATGTGCTTGACCTCTACAAATTAGTACCCTCAGCATGGTATTTTTTATACCTCAAGAGCTTCAAGCAAGCCATTCTCAAGTGACAGCATTCTGGGACCTCCAAAATATCCTCTCTCATAATTTGAGGCCCCAGCAGCCCTGACAGCCTCCACTTCCTTCGGCTCAGGGGCCAACCTGTGTGGCCCTCCGCACACAGCCTCAGCAATTGCAATTTGAGCTCTACCATGAGGGATACTCGCATAGGCAATGCATATAGATATACATCTCGGCCAACAATGCCAGGTTTATAGTGGAAAATATATACATATATACCATGTACTGGGAAAAGAAAAGGCAAGCAAACCATGCACCAGTAAACATCCTGGGTACCGCCAGAGAAAAGTGCCTCCAAAAGTATAATCTAGTGTCGGCATTGATATTGTCCAGTGATACTGCGGAGACAACATTTTTATGGATACACCAGAGTTTTCTACGAGTTTACTATAGCTTTTTGGCGACAACCGCTAGCCCCACTATAATGCACTCTTCATCGCAATTCCCGAGATTTTCAAGTGTGACCTTGTGCTATCGCATAAGAGTTCCTAATGTTTGTTACCGCTTCCACTGTTCCTCAACTGTTGCAGTGATCTTTGCTCGTACTTTATCAGGGTATTAACAATGCTCGAGCTTGATCCTGGGGTGTTGGG